CTCTCATAGGTGTTTTTTTTTTTTAATTTTAGAAAGAGGGAGAGAGTACTCATGAGCAGGGGAGAGAGGCAGAAGGAGAGAGAGAGAATCTTAAAAGAGGCTGTATACTCAGCACAGAGCCCAACGTGGGACTCGATCCCACTACTCTGGGATCACTACCTGAGCTGAAACCAAGAGTCAGACGCACAAGCAACTGAGCCACCCAGATGCCCAGGTGTTTGTTTGTTTGTTTGTTTGTTTGTTTGTTTTAACTATGAAACATTGTTTGTACTTCGCCTTTTTCCTGCAGATGTGACTTATTCTTAATACAGATTTAAAAAACAATGTTCTATAGACAATTAACTTTTTAGTTAGGAAATTAAACACTGTTATCAGTATATTTATTGTACAATATATTGCTAATAACTGTTGAGCACCAATGAATTTTAACACAATGTATAAGGATTTTATACCTAAAGGAGGTATAAATCTGCCACCTAAGAAAAATAATAGATTACTTGTTTTCTGGTGAAGTGTTATTAATAAAGCCAGCAACTCCACCTCAGAAAATGATGATTTAGTAGGAGGAGTGTAAAGACAAAATTAGAAAATGATCAGTGTACCTCACTAGGGGAAAAAAAGATTGAAGTTTAAATTAAAAAAAAAAAGAAAACAAAAATTCCGGCTTTTGTTTATTTCAGAATTTGAAGAGCAAATGTCCTTTTGTGAGCCTAACTCTTTGCATACTTATTTCACTAATAAAGTTAGTCTTGATGATGATGTGTCTGCTTGTCAAAGCCAGTTTGGGGGCTTGATAAAACCTAAAACAGAAAGAGTTTCCAGTTTCACATAACGGAGTACGAGATTGGCTGCTATCTAAGGAAAGATGATATTTATAGGAAGGAATGAAGCTGTGGAGATAGATTCATTTTTAGGAAGGCTGGATAGTGTTTCTCTAATCACCTCATCCCCACCCTCTCAAATGTGTGGCTCTTAAACAAAACCTTTCTGTCATTAAATACTTAATCCGTAGCACTTTTTTCATTTCAAACTGCCCCTTTCTACCTTCTCTGGGTTATATTCTTCTATATCCAAATTTATTACTTTTCCCACAGTACTTCTAATTTGCAGTTGCTCTCCATTCTAAAGCACTTCATCTCTTTTCAACTGACAGTGGTCCTACCCCTCTCTATTTTTAATCTTCTGTCTTTCTCCATGAGTTTTTTTTCACATGTGCAAACACCATCATTCAACCCCTGTCCTGTGCTCCTTGTGTTACTTTGCCTCTGAGTCAAAGCTTTTCAAATCAGGATGTTGGATGAAGTCGGTTACAAATGAATATTTCCCCATCAATTATATGATTAAACAATTAGATGGACAAAATCCTTTATGGTAAGATTGATGGGTTTGGTTTGTGTGCTTTATATTATCTTATTCCACTTGGAGAAAGAGATTTTCAGAGTTGAGAAAAATACAGTTTACCTCCATAAAGTCATACAGGATACTGGTCCATTCTCAAAAAACAATGGAGGAGTCACTTCATAAAAATAAGTACCACAGATAAGTTCTTTGAGAAATCAAGATATGGAGAAAGCCTTTCTAAGTGGTAGTGAAGTCCCCAAAGGTGGGTGAAGAAGCATATGTATTTAATCAGTCTTTAGTAAGAGTACCACCTTCTCAAGTACTTAAGAAAAAGATTGTATGATGAAGCACAATTTCTCTGACTTCTCAAATCTAGAGTTGAGTTGATAAATGCAATACATTCCATTATTATAAGAAAAAAAATAATATTACCACAGAGAAATAAATGGGTTATTTCACTTAATTTAGTCTCATCAGTTGTCTTTCTGGGGGAATGTCACTACATCCAGCTCATTACAAAAAAGACGTGCAAAGTTCTGTGATAGCTATGGAATCAACTTATGACATGACATAGTGGTTTTTGTTTTTTTTTAAGTAAACTCTACACCCAGTGTGAAGCTTGAATCTACAATCCCGAGATCAAGACTCACATGGTCTACTGACTAAGCCAGCCAGGCACCCCATGACATAGTGTTCTTTAATCTGTAAAAGAGTCATTTTACATAGTTCTGTATTTAGGGCCTACAAAAATCAGCATCTCTCAATAACACGTGATAATCCAAATACATTGTTATAGTATAATGTAATAGTTATGTGAGGATATCTTTCTCCTCCATTTTATATATGCTACCTAGTTATTGAGTGGCAGCCACCAAAAAAAACACAAAAAAATGCACTTATGACATGGTAAATAAAGATAGCACTATGATCTCAACTTGAAAACTCTAGTGCAAATAAATTATTTGGTCCTGGTTAGTATTTGTTATAATAATTCTCAGAAAACTGAAGTGTACTTTTAATGTCATTCTGGTTTATGAAAGACTATAAACTTAAAAAATTTCATAACTTTGAACTTTAACCTTTTCAGTATTCTGCAGTATGATTGGCTCCATGTGTACTTCTTCCATCAGGCTGCAGAAGTTGTAAACACTGGAAAATAGAAATGGCTAATGAATCATACTTGGGACATGGAAAAGGTCAAAGTTGTACAGTTTATGATTATCTTCTAGAAAATATATAGGACATTAAAATTCCGATGCTACAGTCTTGTGACAAAGAATATAATGAGAACAATAAATAATAAACAGTACGACATGAATCTTCTTGTGACAATGATTATAACTTAGAATAGGGAATACTTAACTCATTCCCATTATTGTCAGAAGAAAGGGCCACTTTATTGATGTTTATCTTTTCCTTTTGCAGTTAAGAGCTATTTAAGCCTCAGAAAAGAAAGGGAAAATGTATATGTCCAAGAGTGTTGAATATATTTCATTATAAGCACTTTCCAAAATGAATAGGATGTTGGTGCTGTAGGGTTAATATTATCTGGGATAATTTAAAAATAGCAATTTTAAGGCAAATCATATGTTTAAAATTAATCTCCTACTGTCATGGAGGATGTCATATCGACACCTATGATAACAAAGTGATACATTATTTCCGTACAGAAGGTATGAATAAACAAAAATATTTACATTTTGCTTGCATTTAACACCAGGATCCCAGGCTTATTCCATACTTGCATACCCTGAAATTTTTAATGCAGGCACAGAGCTCTACATAAACTAAAGAAAATATATTTATCCTACATCACAGAGTTATAAAGTGTCAATGCTTCAATTTGCTAATAGTTATTTTTTATTGCTCACTGTAGGTATTCAGTCTTCAGAAGTGATATAGAAAATAACACAGAAGGCATTAGGAAAGAGAACAGAGGGTTGAAAAAGAGCAGATTGTGTTGGTGGCCCTTTCTTGTTACAGAAAATTTGTCATGGATGGCTGTAATTGTGAGTAGTCTTTCTGAGCCTTTACCATGCTACTTCCTTTGAGAAGGAAAACTTATCCTGTCCTGCTGTCACTTACCACACCTTTTGGCAACTCTCCAGAGATGCAGCACTGCTGTTGACACAACAACTTGATTTCTTGTCAAAATATCTTTTAACATCTGGCTCAAAAGATATTTTTGATGACTATAAGCATGCCCAACTCCTCTGTTCATTAAGGCTGAAAATTCAATAAGTGTTTGGTACGCTGAGACTAAGCTACCTCATAGTGAGCAGCTGTCAGATGATTTGCTGAATACTTCTGCTCAGCCCACCACAGTGAATTGATGGAATTGTGCCAGCTTTAGGACATATACGGAGTGAAGGGGATTTTAGCAAGAACTAACCAGATGCTCCTTCTAAGCTTTGCACTACCACCTGTAAATTTAAACAATCTATTATGAAATAAATGGAGACAAAACCCTTTATGGATCCATGTGTCCTTCATGTCGGAGTAGCAACAAACCAGTTATTGGTGCTAAAAATACATCAATGGCTTTGGTTATAGGCAAGGTGCCTTTTGGATCTATAGGTTGTGTCAGCCTTTAACTGCTTACATCACCTACACCACCAGTTCTGGACATGAAAAATGTTTATTTGAAGACCCATCACCTAAAGATATTTCTAATTTAGTGGTTATTCATAGATAGTGACACTTTACTACAGAGTGAATTGGGTTGTACCCTAGTTAGAATGATGGTCTTTGCATTCTGCATGTTGTGCCTATACCTGTCATTTGAATTTGAAAAGCTCCTATCCAGGCATTGTGATAATCTCTCAGAATTATCATTATAATGGGGCACTGCAGCACATTATAGAGTACAAACACAGCAGTATCTGAGAAAATCTACGTGAGTAAAATATTTTCATTTGTGTTTAAAAGTTATGAGTAGATAGTAGCTCTGTGTTCAGGCAAGAGGTGAAGGGACCAGCCCTGTTCCACCTTGTCCCTGGACTTTTATTAAGCCAACTCTGTATTTACCATGTACTTAAGTAACAGTGTAATGCTGAGGGGCAAGCTAGTTCAAGTTTGAAGCAATGGTCTACAACTCTCCCATCTCCTGTGCATCTGTTCTTTCCTCATCTTTCAGCCTGGTTCTGCCTCTACCTGGCTGTGAAATGTTGGCTATTTCTCTCACCTCAGTCTCATCTGGCTATTTTTACTCTGTGCATTTTCCTCTATTATATAGACTTTGGTCTACTTTATGTACCTTAAGTTATCTATACTGCTCTGAGCAACCCCCATAGCCTTAGGCAGGTAGGAATTACCCACCTTAGATTTGGCCTAGCAAGAACCCAATGGACCCTCCCCTATAGTCACAGGGCTGCAAGCCACAGCTAGGGATTCAACTAAGCTACTTAGCACTAGCACATTAATGCTTTAATTTCCTTAAAGATAAAAAACAAAAGCCAAGGCTTAGGCTCCCAGGGTGATGTTTTTAAAAAGAATTCACAGTATTTCAAACTTCAGAATCTTTATTGAATCTCCAAGCATGTAAGGCACATTAGTGCTAAACAGAGTCTAAGAGGGTAGGGGGGTTTGAAATATAAAAACATAAATGAGTAATTTTCACTTTTCCCCCAATCCTTTTTTCCCCTCCTTCCTTTTTGTCTTCAGTTGTTCTCTCTGTTTGAGGGTGCAGGAGCCGGCATACCCCAGGAAGGAAAATTGGCAAAATAAGAAGGCAGTGGAGGACCAAATATTGGGGGTGGGGCAAAAGCAATAGGCATAGCAAGAAATGGACTGAAACTTGGAGGTCGTGGAGGTATAAAGCAATGAGCAGTAGGACGAGAAGGTAAACCTGGAGTACTGGAAGACAATGGGAGAGGCCTTGGCCAGTTCTCCACAGGGTGCCGCAGGCCTCCTGGTGGGAAAGAAACATGAGCCAGCCTTTCTTTCCCAGTCATTCTCGTATTTCCTGAAGGCAACTCCATTATCACCCCTGATCTAACGGTGGGGATATGAAGGGGGTCTCTTACTTGTGGACCCCTAGATGGAAAGAACCCCTGACCTTGTGGCAAAGCCACGTATAACCTCGCATTATTGCCACCTCTCTCAGTGCCCCCACTGCTGACTCTTGCGCCCCCTATCATCAGTGAGGGAGTGCTGCCAGAGAAATCCTGGGACACATTAATAGAATCCTCTTCCCTAAGCCTCCAGCCTGCCAGCCCCTCAGAGCTATTTACTTCTGCTGTTGCTAAGGACTCTTCCGCAACAGCAGGTGGTGACCCACAGGGGTGTTTGTGAGATCTCGAACTGTCGACAGGAATGCAGGCTCCGGCGATGTGGAAGGGGTGCTCCAGCTGCTCTCTTGCCAGGTCGGTCAGCACATTAAGGGGAGGTCTCAGCAGGACACGACGGTGGCCCAAAGGTTCTGCATCATCTTTCGGCAGAGAACTCGGACACTGGAGGGACATGTCGTCAGGGCGTGGCTCCCGGATCCCACACTCTTCTGCAACTACTCCTCTGGGTGAAGGGGCATGCCCTCCAAGGCTTGCAAAAAATAGAAATAAGTAAGTTAATAAAAATGGGATTTGGTGGCCAGGCAATACCTGAAATATGTGATTGATTAAACCCGCTGGTATATACCAGGGGAAAGGGAGCGCCCGATCTCCTCCCACGTGTAATCAGCAAGCACTTTTGGAGCCCACTTGCACCATGTCAGGTGGCTTCTTTAAGCGGCAGACTACCCAATTTCCCTTTCTGGCTTTCTTGTGGCTCCACCCCATTCTCCATTTCCCCACCTCCTCAAGGCAGTAAGGAAGCTGAGAAGGCCCAGAGAGCTTTCTTAAAATAAGTCTGCATTGCGCCGGTTCGCCGTACTAAACACAGCTCCTTCCAGTCCCGAAAGGACCTATATTCCACTAAAGCCCAGCATTCAGATTCTGGCAGGAGTGTTTTGGAAAGTCTTGTGAGGAAAAACTTTTTTCTTTTTTTTTCTCTCCGCAGAAGTAGAAGAAACGTTATTTGTGTTAACGAACACTCCAGTTTGTTTTAATGAAGTATCATTCAACATTTTCACCGAGTTTTCTTAAAACTGTCTTTCATTCAACCTGTACCACAACCTAGAGTATGAATTTCCTCAAGTTTAAGCCCAATTGTTTAAACTAAGGATTTCAACTTTTGTTTCAAAATTACATTTGAAAATCCCCGCCCTTAAATCCAGTATTTTTAGTACTTGAGTTTGTGTCCTGCAAGTTTTTGTTTGTGATCCCCTCCTGCACTCCCTCCATCCACTTGTCCCTGTCCCAGTTACACAGGAAAACAATTCAAACTGCCTTTTGCCTTCAAAATTAAACAAAACTCAGTTTTGTACTTACACATTTTCAATACAAGCCATGGAGAAAGTAGGTCAGGAAAGCCTCCCTGAGGTGATGGAGAAAATCAGCTGAACGCCCACACAGGCCAACTCGGTCTGGAGAGACGACTCGTGCTTCTGCCTTAGAGCAGCTTGGCAACTCAAATGAAGCCAGGGACCAACTGCTTCTTTCTAGATTTGGAGTTCTCTTTCTGAGGTTAACAGTTGCTAGGGAAGGGAGGGAGAAAAGGAGTGAAGAGGGGGAGGGGATAAATCTGTGACACTCCTTTGAAGCTAAATGTAGGACTCCTTTTTGCATAGTAGTAGGTGGATGGTAAGAGCATTCACTAAATCAACCCAATTGCAGACAAATCATTTCAAGATTTTAGAAGAATCATGGAGACATGATACTTTATCGAGAATTATTTCTTAAGTTTTAGTTAGGCAAGGTAGTTACCATCACGTCTCTTCCTAGAGTTTGGAAATACAAACATTGAGCAAGGTACCATGCTTAGTCTCCTAATTTAAAGTCCAGTTTTGAAGATGCATAGTTGGTGGGGAACAGAAGTTTGTGGGGTTAAATTGCTTTTCAATCTGTCTTTCTTGTGAAGATGAAACAAACAAAAAGAGCATTATAGAAAAGTCCCCCTAAGAATCGTACTAGCTTTTGTTTTTAGCCCCTCAATTTAAGTTTTTTTCCCTTCAACCTACTTTCTAGTTTATTGGCTCTGTATGTTGGTGTGTGTGTGTGTGTGTGTGTGTGTGTGTGTGTGTTTTATTTCCTGGAATACAACTCTGTAAACTTCTCTGCAAGTGGGAGGGGGAATAAAAGGCATAACAGATATTACACATTTATGAATATTACTCAGATTTCACCTTGGAACTTTTTTGCATAAGGCACTTTCTGTTCTTCCAACCTAAATTTCATCTACTTCCCTCAATTTAAACAAGTACACTTCCCCAGCTTTTATTTTCTGCCATTGATATATAGATTAATTGCTCTGAAATTACAAAGGCCATATCCTCATCTAAGATTACTAATCTTGCTCTAAGATAAAGCCATAAACTTGGCTCACTTCCTTAAATTTACCTGAGATTTGTGCCTTTCAGACTAGGCTTTAAAGACCTTAAAATCTTTTATTGTTTCTAATATCAGAACATGCTGTTATATTTCAACAGTCATATATATATATTTTTTTCTTTTTTTTAAAGAAAGATAACAGACTCAAACACCATGTGTTTCAATTTATATACGGAATGTGTGTGTATTTGTGTATGCATGTATGTGTGTAGTGGATAAGTATAAAATACTAATGCAGAGGAATGTTCAGTGTTGTGAAACAACACAATTCATGGTAGAAATAACCTTTTGGGTCTCTAAGTCCACATCTTCCTGCCAGGGTGCCTTGTCCCTGTCTGTACACTATTGAGTTGTTGTTGTTTTCAATCTCATTGAAAGATGAAAGTAACGTGTTTCCAACACTCCTCCCGGAAGAATCTATCCACTTGCCTACCATGGTTCACTATTAAGAAATTTCTTGATTCCCCAACTTGATTATATTTTTCTTCAGTTTATTATTTCCTTGTCCTAATGTAAAAGAAAACTTGTTATTGGCAATAGAATTGTGGTGGAGCATTAAAGCTTTTTCAACACTTGGTATGTCAGAGGGATAAATGCAACTTGGGCTAATGCCTGATAGTTGGTAAGTTATATTTACATAGTTTATACATTTTTTCCCAAATAATGGCAAGAAAGCCCCAACAAACCCTTTTATGGCTATCAAGTTATTTCAATCATTGGCTGTTTAACCTAGAAATGTCTGTTCAGTAAAAACATCATCTTAATTGGATTCCATGAGATTGAAGTATAATATAGACACCAAATAGTTGGACACAGTAACAAAATCAATGGCATCAAGAATTTTCCAAAGCCATAATAGGTATTATAAAGTTATGGATACCAACTCAGATTTTGCCTCGTAACTTGTTAGTTTTTGTGAGATGAATGTTTATTGAATGCCTACTGCATTGACTGTTTGGTTCACTGTGCATTATAACAAAAGTTAAATAAGCAATTAATGGGGACTTCAAAGAATATTCAGACTTTCTGGGGAGAGAAAATAACATCTATAAAAGAATTGAAAAATGGTATAAAAAAGAATAAATGCAGACAATTTGCTGCGTGGTAAAAACTAACACTGCAATGGAAATTCAGAAGAAGAAACTGTAATTTTAGGTTAAAGTAACCATGAAATATTTTATGTGGTAGGACTAATGCGATATACATGGACAGAGGAGGAGATGGTATTCTGTGTTAAGAACAGGTATAGAGGTAGTAGTGAATGAAAATTTTTGGAATTTTGTAGTTCAGATTTTTAATCCAATCTAGGGCTCATATTTGGCAGAAATAGAAATTTAAAGAGTTAACTGTACCCTCTAGAGATAGCAAGATCAGCAAGATAATTAGGAAAATTGTACAAATGAGGTAATATCTGAAGGCACTCACATTTCATAAAGGAAAAACTAGATCATCTCAAAACCTACCTTTTGGGGAAAAAAAAAAAAAACCGGTTAGGCTACTTCAATTATCCATCAAGCTCTGAAAATGAAATAGTAAATCGTGTGCCTTTTTTGTTTGTATGTTTGAGTGACTGCTTTGGGAAGAGAAAAATGGGTAATGGAAATTAAAGATTTGCCAAAAGTTAGCTTAATTGTGAAAGCAGCTAAGTTATAAATGCCTTTCATTACCCATGGCTTCTTATTTCATGACACAGCTCTAGATATTACATATCTCTCAAAAGGTTTTGAAGACTTTATTAAAATGCTAAGTGAGGACCATGGAAGGAAATATTTACTTTTGCACAACAATTACAAGGTTATTAAAAATGTGGTTGTACTGCCAAAATAACGTTGTTGGGTTTTTTTTTTTTTCAAAGAAATTTTGCAGATGTGTAAAGACATTTAAAATGCAATCTTTCTCTTTTGCTTAGAAAATAATCCAGGGGATAGAGACATAAGAATGGCTTTCTCTGTTACCATCAGGCTAATCAGGAAGTGATGAGAAGATTGTCATGCTGATCTCTGGGAGACTATTGTCAAAAGATTCCATCCATTAACTCACTTTCAAAATGTAATGTGCCTATTCTCCTGGGAAGCTCTGCAAGTTTAGGATATCGAAAAGTACTTCTCAAAGATAGACCAGATATTTTTAAGGGTCTGTTTTTATTTAATTCAGTGTATGAAAAAAGCATGAGAGTAATGAAAGCATGATATTATCCCAGCGTAGGTCAGACAACATTATTCAGTTGCACAACTATAGGCAGTACTCCTGTCCTCTCTGCCACCAGCTGTCCTGCAAACTCTGTGTGGTAAGTGATGAGAATGAACAGGTGAGAGTATGGTTATCTCACCACCAGCACTTGCAGAAGCGACTAATATATACCTCACGGTTGGACCTAGTTGACAATGAAGTTCAGTAGACTATCATTGCTTTTCTCAAGTTCCTTGCTCCAGATTAAAAAATATATATATTAGTTTCAAATTGGTAATTTATGGCAGTTACTCCAAAACAGGTTATTTCTGTGTATAAATCAGAAGCTATCAGTTCCTTGAACACCCAGTGCTCTATTTTTTCTTGATTTCCTGAGAGTCACAACTGGAAATTAAGTAGCAGTGGAGCAAGCCAGATGAGAAAAAAGAAAGAAGGAAAATGAAACCAGGGGTTTTTTAACCACTTACTCTATACCAGACATCGAATATATTTGTCTCATTTAATATTCACAGAAAATTTTAAGGCAGTTATTAAACCTATTTCATAGATGATAATAAAGAGAATTAGAGAAGTTAAGTAGTTTTTTTTTTTTTTTCCCCAAGGCCCCACAGCTAGTAAATGGCGGCCAGCATTCAGATAGAGCCAATCTGACACCAAAGCCCACATTTCTTTCATATAACCACATGGCTGCCTAATGAAGCCATGTTTATTAGTTTATTTAATCAGGGACTCACTGACCCATCTTAAAGTAATTCTGCAATAAAGAAATTGTCTAAGCTGCAATGCATCCCAGAATGCCTGCCTCTGCAGGGATGCAGTAGGTAAAGAAGAGTAGGCATTTGGTGATACTACAGCAAGATGGTAAGGACTAAAACCCTGTCATGGAGCAACTGGAATTGGTGACAGAAAAAATAAATTAGCCATAGGACAGCACTGAGTGACCATTACTAATAAATTAATTTTAATATGTGGCCAATATTACCAATATTAAGCTTATGTTAATGCTGAACTCTTGAGATCAGTTATAGGATTCCTTTCTGTGGCACTAAGATGAAACTGAGCCTATAATTGTGGTTAGGTCATCCACCTTCCAGTATTAGAGCAAAAGGGAGAACTTAGAGTTAATTCTGTGTGTGTGTTGGGTGAAATGCTGAGTAGGATTGAGTTGTCCAAGTGAGTTATTAATGATAACTCTGGAGAATACCTTTCTGAATTAGAGGGATATATTAATTTAAAAATAAAATAATAGTACTGTGTTTTCTGTTCATATTGGTATTTATTATAAATTAAGGTACAAAAATGGACTAACAAGTAAAATGAGGAAAGTCAATGAAAAATATTAGTTTACAGTAGCTCATTAGACCATAAATCTATAATTATATATATTATGTCAGAATTAATTGGTAAGCAAAGGAGATGAAGGCATACTTAATTTCTTGAACACGTGGTTTGAAAAACAAAAGCTATTTTAGATAATTTCTTCTTGTTTGTAATTAACACACTGTAAATTCATGTAGAGAACATCTTATCAAACTTTATCAAAATGAATCATATGTGCCAAGTTGTTAAGAGCTTTGGTTCTGGAATCAGGAACATAGACCTGGGTTAAAGTTTCAGCTTTACTACTTACCAGCTTTGTGACCTTGGGCAGGTTTCTTGACTTCTCTGAAGCTCACTCTCCTCATTTGTAATGTGGGATTATAGAGAGAATTACACTAAATCATGTGTGAAAAGCGACTTATATACTAGGTGATTAAAATATACTCTCTTT